GAAGGTCGAATTGGGTAGAAGTTCTTCTTATAAAAAAAAGAGTATGTGAACTCGAATTTTATCTACGAAAAAATCTTCTGCTTGCACATGCGCTTGTAAGCATATAAGTTTGATTAGGTAAAAAATAAAAAGCTGTTCATAAATACATTTTGATAGATATGAAATTAAAACAGAAATTTTTGGGAACGTCAGTTTTTAGCGTCGTTCTCGTTCTCATGTTTCCGTTCTCGAATTCTTTACGGAAATTCCCATTTCCGATTTCCGCGGGAAACGGGATGAGAAAACTCGGGAAAAAATTGTTTCTGCAAGACACTAGTTGAAACATAGATTTTGCAAGTCTTTTTTGTTTCGTCATGTACTGGCTGGTAATTATTTAGAAGAATATAATCAGATGATATGAGACTTAAATTTTATTCGAAATCAATAAAAAAAAGGAACCGAAATATTTTATCGAAATTCACTATGAATATATTAATTATTCTACTATTTATTGTAGTGTTTGACCATCAAAAATGGTCTTGTCTATATCTCAGCTCTTATTCACTCAAATCACTCGAAATTAATACTAAAGTATCTATCAATCATGCTCTATTTATGCTGCTAAAATCAGGTTTCTATCTCTTGTCGTTTGCGAATGGTTTAAAAAATAAACTAGTTTTTTTTCGCCTATTTCATGTGTTTTTATGATTATTCTTCATATTTGCCTTTTCTTCTTTCCTTTTTTTTGGCTTCAAAACAAAAATGTACAGCATGTTTAATTAGCTTTCTTATATTACTTTTGAATGTTCTATCTATGCATAACTTTATTTTCATTTTAGCTGTCGTTGTATCACAAAAATTTGACACTCTGTCAATAGTTCCGAAAAACAGGAAAAAAAACGTGTTCCACTCCTCTTTGAGTCTAGTATGAAGGTAATAAACACCTCAAGTCAAATCTTTCTTCATAAAAAAGATTTACTGATTTGATCGTTTTCGATTACTGAAAACCACACGTTACTAGCTTTTCTCATTTTTGAAAAATTTACATCTTAGTGGAATTCACTGGTATGCGATACATAATCTGTCCCATTCCTCATGCCTATCTCCTAAAGAAATATCAGATAGAAATAAAGTTATGGTAAAATTTTTATGTTGAACAGTACGTCGATATGGTGAAAGATGCTTTAAATTATTTTCATGATTTTTTTTTTTTTGTTTTTTTTTTTACTTATTTCAAAGTGTTTTGCAAAAGAACAAAAATATAATAAAGAAAATATATTTTATTTTAATTGATTTACACAAATACTTGCTTTTCGTTTTCGAAAATATTGTTTACAAATATTACAGTTGAAAATATATTTCTGAACAAATATGAAAAGATTTTTTCGTTTACTAATCAAAAACAACCAGATTTAGTTTATTGACGATGAAACATATGCCATATTTGAATGAAATTGTTGATAAATTAACATGACATGATGCAACTAAATGTAATTGTTATAAAGCTTCTATAACTTCAACTTGAACAATTGGTTCAATATGCATTTGTAAAAGATGTTACTAGTTGTTAAACATGATGAACGTAATATTGATATGTAATTTGTATTTGTTTGAAGTTCCGGACCAATTGTTATAATTAATGCTCCAAGTAAACGTCCACAACATTGAAATACATCATATTGTGATAGTGAAATTGATAGAAGAATATATAAAATTAATACTAAACATGGTTCAATATATCAACAAAACATCTGTTCACTACAATCAGCCATTAATGCTAAAGTATGCAATGCTCATACTTGTACAATTGATGCTGATTGATCTTGTTCAAGTGTAAGATGTATTGATAGATATAAATTTAAATATTATCCTGTACTCATTCCATCAATATAATGATGTAAACATTCAAGTGCTAATGAATAACCTGTACGAAATGAAACATCATGAAATTCTTTCAAACGATCAAAACACATTTGTGTTATATCAGCAACAATATGTCCATCACCAACAACTTGTGTTAAACGACCAAGAGCTTCACCAGCTGCACAACATAACATGGGATTTTGATGACTTAATGTTTGCATAACAAGTGTACAGGCAGTTGTTTTGACATTCTTATCATCGGTTGATGATGATTGTTTCGTTTCAGCTAATGTTTTTAATGCGGTTAAAACAGCTGTAAATATATTAACTTGTACAGCTTCTTGTCGTACATCTTTTGATTGTTTAATCATATCAATAGAATGTTGTAACATATTTAAACGATATTTATCTGATACACGAATAAATATTGTACCATAAAGAGTATTGATACATCAACAACAGCAATATCTAACGATAATGGATCCGGAATATTTAATTCCACTAGACGAGAATAATAAGCATTGCTAGAATTATTATTTGTTGTTGATGATAAACGAAAAAGATAATTAATAATATTAAACGAAGTTAAAGACGTATCTCGACGATAGAGCATACAATGGGTTATTTAAATTCAATCTGACTTTAAAAAGAAAAAAGAGCACTTGATTTCAAATTGAAATAGGGGACTAAGGGGACTAAGCTGACTAACTAAGGGGACTAAGGGGACTAAGCTGACTAACTAAGGGGACTAAGGGAACTAAGGGGACTATTCAGTGAGAAAGCGTGTTTTCCCACCTAACACACCTTTTATTTCAGCGTCGCGGCGTGGGGGCGCGAAGCGCCCCCCGAAGAGCCGCGACCCATGCACGTCTCTGTGTACACCATTATTCCTACCCTTAGGCCGGTTAGTTAGTCCCCTTAGTCCCCTTAGTTAGTCAGCTTAGTCCCCTTAGTCCCCTTAGTTAGTCAGCTTAGTCCCCTTAGTCACCTTAGTCCCCTTAGTTAGTCCCCTTAGTCCCCTTAGTTAGTCAGCTTAGTCACCTTAGTCCCCTTAGTTCCTCTGTCTTGGTAAAAATGGGCTGTTATTTTTTTTTCAAAATTCAATTTGAATTAAAAAAACCCATAGACTCCGATAGAGATAAGTTTCATCATGTTCAAGTGCACTTGAACCACTAGTGGAGTGTTGGTTGAAGTTGTTCTTTAATCATTTGATAATCAATTTCTTGTAACCAATTACCTGAAAGGACAATCAAATAATGTCTTCGATATTTTAAATCTAACCGGAAATACAATGACGTTTTCTAGACTTTTATTCATTGTGAATTTCTTAGTGTGCATCAATTCGTGAAGACCAATTGAACTTCGAAACGAAGTTTTCTATAGCTTATGATTCATTAATTATTATTTAACTTTTACTATATTTATTAATCCTGGAGATAGCGATGAACTAGAAAATTGTCGTATAGTAGAGATCTATTTCGACTAAGAAAAATGAATGTTCACTCAAAGGAAGTGGCACTTTTCATATGTTATATCTCTCACAATTTTTCTGAAACATGATCTGAGAGAAGTATTCAAGTATATGGATAGAGATTTGAATCCACAGTAGAGACCAGCGATTCCAGTCATTACTCGATATCGAAACTGGCATGACAAGCGCAATTTCAGTTATAAGAAATTCAAAAAAAAAAGGCAGCTCCGGTTCGGTTCCGAAAATGTCGCATAGAATTAAATCCATTAAGTCATCAAACGAATGCCAAGATTTTTGCATGTTTCCAAAGATTTGATTTTCTAATTTTGAAATTAAAGATATCACACACTTCATTATTCAAACAAGACACTATTACAAAAAAAAACCTATTGAACTCTTCAATCTCGGATCTTAAAGAGTTAGGATTGGTTAGCATAAATTCGAGAATTTTTGCATCTGTTGGATGATTTAACGATTCCCGTTCAGTTCTTGGTTCTATCCGGTTGGCACATAAGTTCTGCACGTTCTTTTATGGTGTTTTAAGTAAAGTTGAGGCCTTGAATCTCGTGATTGGAAAGTGACAGAGGTCTAAAATTTTCAGTGTAGATAGAAGTCATAAAGCTCTATCTACACTAAAAATTTCACTCCTCTATCACTTTCCAATCATGAGATACAAGGCCATAAATTTGCCTACAACACCAAAAAGAAAAAGTGCAGAACGTATGTGCCAACCTAATAGTTTTTTGAACTGTCGATCTCTATCTGACAGACATGATCAAGTTTCTATCACATATGCCATAGCAACATCTAGCCGGGATCACAGATCATGACAGACATAGTCATGAAAGTGAAGTTTATTGCGAAATTCTTGTGAAATACAATAGAATTTCAGATGTCTATCTTTCTACACTTACTGTAACATTATATAGTAATTGAAAAAATCATACATATATTGCTGAATCCCTTTATTTACAAAATAAGAAGGTCTATCGTCTTTCACGTTTTAATGCTCTAAGGATTGCGTTAAAAGCATTTTTTTCATTTAACTATTTTTTGATTGTGAGTAATGTCATGATGACATAAAATCATTCAAGTAGGATTTGGATATTTTTGATCTTAGCAAAACAATTAATACTTCAAGGAAGAGTCATTTACATAAGAAAATACCAAAAATAGGAAATATTTCGAGATTTTTATGTACTTATAATAAGCAAGATATTCGGAATTAGCATGAAAAATAAACTAAAAAATCTATTTTATATCAAAAAATTTAACCTCTGCTCGCTCTCAACCTTTTATTCCATAAATTTTGTGCATTGCTTTCCTATGCGTTAAATTTCAATGAAAAAAAAAAAATTTTTAGTGTATTTTTTTCATGTTGATTCCAAATATCGTGCTTATTTTACATAAACATCTCTATATACCTCTCCATTTTGGTCTTTTACTATACAATTGATCTTTCTTCTTAAGACTAAATTTGCAGGGAGTATAATCATAACTTCTTTTTAACTGTGGTTGTTTTTTTCTCTTTTTCTTGAAAAGTTTATAAAGCAACTTTCTAATTCTTACGAAGTAAACCACTATCATTATCATGACAAATTGATCAAAGTAAAGATGTTGTTGTATTTGGTGAATTATCAGTTAATATAAATTCTGCAACTAATTCTCTTAATAAAACTTTAAAATGTTATACATAAAGTTTAATTGATATAAGTGAAAGAAGTTCATATAAATGTAAATGAAACATAACTATTGGTGTTTTTAATTTTGGACTAAATTGTTTAATTAAATTTGTTATATGAACAAATATAATTATGGCATTTTCAATTGGATTTAATATACATTTAAGTAAATCATCAGTTATTAAATGATCATCATCTGTTGAACAATTATTTAAAAATCATATCATAGAACAAAGTGCATTTAAACCTTTCTTGTGTTGCAGCTAATAATGCCGTTAAATATTTCTTTATTGAACAACGAACCAGAGATGTCCATTGCGGCTGAAAATCTACCGCTGCCACGTCGCGGCCTTAGAAAAAAAAAGCTGCCGCGCCGCGACGGTTTATAAAAGAATGTTGCCGCGACGCTGCCGCACCGCGATGACTTATAAAAGAAACGCTGCCGCGATGAATTATAAAATAAACGTGCCGCCACCGCGCCGCTGCCGCGACGGTTTTCAAAAAAGTGTTTCTAATTTCACTGCTGTGACTATATTTGACCAGAGATATGGGTACTAGTCCATCAGATTTATTCAATATCAGGGCGTTTCATTTATAAATCCTGAAATTCTATTAAATTCATACAGTTTTTCAATGTCATCCAAAAAAATCCTGCCGCTGCCATGATGGTTTTTTAAAAAACGTGCCGCTACCGCGCCGCTGCCGCGATGACTTTTAAAAAAGTCTGCCGCTGCCGCGCCGCCACCGCCATCGCGGCAGCGGCAGCGCCGCGATGGACATCTCTGCAACGAGCTTCATTATTTGAACCATCAAGTGCACGAAAATCTAATGTAACAGTTCCTTCAAGTTCATTTGTATATACAAAATTATTTTGATTAATTAAAGCAATTAAACACTAAAATAAAACTTAAAAAAAACCAATCCATTCAAAAATCTGAATAAATACCATTGCAGCAGTTAATCAAACAGACATAGCTCGATCATAAAGATGAGTTTTAGCAACTTTAAATATTTCACGATGAACATTATTACCAGCTGAATCAAGTCCATTAATAATAATAGGTGCTTGTTCACTTTAAACATATTCCATACACTAATCCGCGTATTTAACGCTCACACATTAAAGAGTGCGGGTGAGAGCATATGTCGAAAGTGAACAAGTACCTAATAATACGTTCAAATGTAAATATTATTTCAAAACACGTTTGAGAATCAAGCATTTCTTTAATATTTTAAGGAACAGTGGACCAGTTTCTTCATATGATCGACCAACTAATCAACCAAGATGTTCATAAAAATTCAAGCATCGATCTAAAGAAAAAAAAACAATTCTCGAAAGATTTTCTAGATCAAAAATAGGATGATAGAATAATCATTTGGTACTTGTTCAGATGAACGATGCCCTCGCCTGATTGGTTACATATATGAAGAGGAAAAGAAAAAAAAATAAAGAGAGATGGTGTAAGTTCTACTCTACATCGATGACAGCTATCATCGATGTAGCACTATACGCCATCTCTCGTTCTTTTTTTTTTCTTTTGCTCTTCATGTATGTGACCAATCAAGCGAGGGTAGTGTTCATCTGAAGAAATACTGAGACAATTAATCGAAACAATGTCAAAAATGAGTGAAGTTGAACCAACATCATTATCATCAACAACAACTTCAGAAATAAAAATATTCTATTATATTGATCATGAAGATCTACCTTACTTAACAAAATTAAATGTAACTGGTTTACCACGTTTAAAAGATTTTAAAAATGCTCTTGGTCGTAATTGTTCAAAATATAAATTTTTCTTTGTTACAAGTGATCCATCTATGGGAAAAGTTAGAGAAGAAATTATTAATGATGAAGAAATTTTACCAGTTGATACACAAGATCGTACAGAGATGTCCATCGCGGCTCAAAATCTGCCGCTGTCGCGCCGCGGCCAAAATCAAACAAAGCTGCCGCGCCGCCCCCGCGACGCGATGGCCTGTTAAAAAAAGCTACCGCGCCGCTGCCGCGACGCGCCTTAAAAAAAAACTTGCCGCCACCGCGCCGCTGCCGCACTGGTATTCGAAAAGATGTTTTGATTTTCAAGATTTTGACTGGTTTGAAATAGAACTGATGCCGCTAATCGATCAGATTCGCTAAGTCTTACAGTATAGCATACATAAACATGCAGATTCTGTGCAAATTCATGAATTTTTGAAATTTTTTCCTAAAAAGCTGCCGCCGCCACGCCGCTGCCGCGACGGCAAAATAAAAATCTCTCTCGCGCCGCGATAGTTTTTGGAAAAAATCTGCCGCTCCGGCGCCGCCACCGCCACGGCGGCAGCGCCGCGATGGACATCTCTGAGATCGTATTCTCACTTATCTTATTTCCATTGAAGATAGTACAACATCAACAACAAATAGTTCATTTAATATTCAACAAGCAAGTCCTGTTGGTTCATTATCATGGATTGTACATACACAACCTTACAAAATACATATAATAATCCTCAACAACAAATCTTACTTCATCATCAACAATCGTTACTTAATTCAACAACAAGTATGAATTCAACCATATCAAATACAAATAATACAATGGCTGATAATGAACGTATGTCGTTTGATTTTGTAAAGGAAAAGAATTTTTCTCTAGGTGTTTATTTTAGGTTTTGGTCTTGGGCCTAATTTAATAGATAATTCTGATATGGCTACTATTGCACGAGCTATGGCTGAACCTGATTCAGGTTTAGATATACATGATAGAAAATGGCTTAACGTACCTATACCAAAATCATTTCTTGGTATGAAAGAAAAAAAATTATTTTTACAAATAGTTAATTTTTATGAATATTATTTTAGGTTCTGATGCAGTTAATTGGTTATATAAAAAGGTCTCTGGATTTGTTATTCGAGATGATGCAATAAACTATGCCTCAACTATGCTTAAAGCAGGTTATATTAATGGTCCGGTTCATAAATCAATATTTTCTGAAAACTGTTATTATGTTTTTGGCGATATTTATTCACAAGGCAGAAAAAATCTTTTTCTTTTCGAAAGGTTTTATTTATTTATTTTTAATTTTTATTTATGTATTTCTCAATTAACAGTTGATGAAGAACCTGAGAATTATGAATCTGTTGCTGCTAAAACAAGTACTATTGATCATCGTAGTGGTGATTCATTATTAGCAAAGTTACGTGAAGAAGTGCATTCAGCAATTCAGAGAAGTATTACTGCCAATGAATGTGCACAAAAATTACTTTATATGAATTTATGTCCTGAACAAGAAGTATATTTTTGAAATATTTAATTAGTTTTTGGACCATTTAAATTTTAGAAGGAATTATGTCAAGTGATTGTTGATATTTGTGCTGAACAATGAACATACGAAGGTTTTTTTGGTTTACTTTCTCAATCACTTTGTGACTCAAAACCAAAATATATTCAATATTTTGAAGAACTTTTTCAAGATCAATATGAAATTATAAATAGTCTTGAAAATGTTCAATTACCAAATGTTGCAAAATTTTTTGCACATTTACTTCTAGTAATTCTATTTCCTGGGGAGTATGTATTCATTTTTCATACAATGGGTTATTTAAATTCAATCTGAATTTAAAAAGAAAAAAGAGCACTTGATTTTAAATTGAAATAGGGGACTAAGGGGACTAAGCTGACTAACTAAGGGGACTAAGCGGACTATTCAGTGAGGAAGCGTGTTTCCCCACCTAACACACCTTTTATTTCAGCGTCGCGGCGTGGGATCGCGAAGCGCCCCCCCCGAAGAGCCGCGACCCATGCACGTCTCTGTGTACACCATTATTCCTACCCTTAGGCCGGTTAGTTAGTCCCCTTATTCCCCTTAGTCCCCTTAGTTAGTCCCCTTAGTTAGTCACCTTAGTTCCCTTAGTTCCTCTGTCTTGGTAAAAATGGGCTGTTATTTTTTTTTCAAAATTCAATTTGAATTGAAAAAACCCATAGACTCTCATTTTTAATATTAAATAATATTTATTCTTTTCTTTCTAGGTACTTGACTGCTTCCATTCAACTGCACAAGATACAATGTCATCCGCACGTGTTTATGTCAAAGATTTACTTTTACAATTAGTTGAATTTATTAATAAATCATAAAACGTTCAGTGGTGTTATCTTTCTTTTTTTTTTAATTATATCTTTTTTTTTTCTTCTCATTGTATTGCCCTATTTCTGTAAAAGTTATCGGAAAATTATGTGACGAATATAGATGGACTCAGTGCTTTTTATGCTAATTTCAAATATACCCTTTCATTTTTTATCGGAGAGTCTAATTACTCTGACTTAAATCGACTAAATATCAGTCGAAAACGATATTTTATGACGACCATGAGCATTGTACCTTTCAATGAATTGTCTTGCTTACAATTAAGGTTGGTGCAATTGTATCATTCTGTAGACACTTTAAAGGCCTATCAAATAATTCATAGTTTAAAATGAGTTGTTGTTTTCAAAGGGCAATCATGAGAAAACTTTGTCATGGGTGTTTTCTTATTGTAGATGCAAGTATCTAATGTCGTTTGCAGAAAAAGTGAAAGAAGAATAGTTTGTCATATTCCCATATGCTATTTGGTAGAGAAAAAATTGATTTATAATTTAAACTAAAAGAGAGAAAAACTTTTCAGATGAACACTGCAAAGTATGATGCTATAGGAGATAGATAATATTACGTTTTGAGTCAGCCACACACAGTCCGAATGAGGTCTAACTGTCTAATTCGAACTACAGTCGACTCCTACTATCGTAATTGATTATTAGAAAAATGAGGAGCATAATTTCGAAAAGGAAACAATTTTCTTGGTTAACGAGCCCCCTTCTCTACTTTTTATTGAAATTAAATTAAATAAAACATTTTTAAATTTGTAATTTCTTCCGAACAGTTTGTTGAATAGCTTCTTTTTCCCAATTTTCTAATTCTCGTTCTTTAATATTAAATAAATCATTAGTATTTGATACAGGATTATAAAAATAAAATAAACCGTCGTCATTCAATGAAAATCTTGATTTAAATTGGAATGATTTTGAATCTTTATAAATATTGAAATACCATTTTTCAAGTTGAGTATGTTCTGTATCATTTTCTAATTTATAATGATAACATTGATCACAAACAAGTAGAATGATATTTTTAATTTGAATATCTTTTGGATATAATACTAAACCAATTTTTGGTCTTTTACATAAACAATTATGAATTGAACAACTAAATGAATTTGATGAAGTCGATGTTTGTTTATTAATGGAAAGATTTTCATTATCATCACAATGTAAATTTAAATAAGGTTCTGTTCGTTGCATTGTAGATGATAAAGCCATGAATTTAAAATTCGAGTACTGTCAAGAACTATGAAAAATTTTTTTAATGTTTAAATAAAAATGACATATAACTAACGTATATGCAAGATACAACGAGGCAAAGATAACTATCGTTTTTCTTATTATTATGGATTTCTCCAGTGTATAAATATTCATTTCATGACTCAAAATTATGATAAAAGCAAACATTACGCACGATGATAATGTATATTTTGTGATTAAAATAAACATAGTTTATCTTATTGTTAGGAATTCAGATTATGTAAAGGTGATAATCGACATAATGAAAAAATATCATGCTTGCTCCCATTGTTTTACTACACTCAATGTAAATTTTAGACAAAAATACACCTAAAAGAAGTCATGTAAGACAAACAATGATTCAGCAACGTTTTTTTTTTCTTTTCTATCGTCCTCGATACTATTGTTGTATACTAATATAGGGTTTTTTTCTCTTTTTTGTTTACTTGTGTATATAAATCAAGGTAGGCGATATTGACTCTTGTCGTTGGCGATCAATGTTTTTATTTTGGATTAGTACATTACACCTGTCCTGTCAATCACACAATATTTTCATAACACTTTTGACATAATTCTCCAGATAGAAAGAAAAAGAATATTTGAAATAAGTTTATTGGATCTGACAATATTGACTGTTTTTATCTCATCAAACAATGACATAGAAACAAGAAAGAATTTTCTTAATTGACATCATGAATTTTAAATCTTAAATCGAATTCATCACAACTTAGATTCAGTGTGTTATCCAGCGTGAGAACAATGTCACATCAAAGATGAAGTTCGTTCATGCAGAATCGATACTATCGTGGCAAATATTATGTGTTGGCCTTTCCGGCAGTGAAAACTTGCAAACAAACATTGCTTAAATTTGAATTCATGTCTAATAAAATATTCAATAATATTATTTACACCGAAAAATATTCTCGTTAGTAGTTCTTTGTTTTTCTTCTTGACATACAAAACAATGAACACAAATACATTTCTACATATATAAATATACAGTAAATAACAACTAACAATTATATAATAACTGTTTTGGAACTGTAATTTGTTATAAGAGAATCTGATGAGAATCCGTATGAATTCATTGGTGTTTGCACTGTAGATGGTGATGGCGATTCTAGTTTTGTTTCTAATATCAGATTATCTGTATGCACTCTTAAATGATCACTAAATTTTTTTAAAGGCACCCATTTCATGCATTGCTTCCATAGACATCGTTGAATCTTGAAAAAAAAAGCGATACATCGTTTTTCAACAAAATAAAACTCTTCGTCAATATTACTGTAGATGAATGTTGAACATGAAAAAGACGAGCATGAATAAAAACATCTTCACGACGAGAAAATGGTTGCCGACAAGACGCATACTGTTTAAAAAAAAGAATAAAAAGGTTTAAATCAGAAATATTCATCCGAACCAGGGCTTTCGAATAGGAAGGGAGGTCTTTACAGTTTCTTGATAACTATGGATAGCAACTGGATTTTGAAACATAATTGTCCTTTTCCAGATGAAAAGTGAAATAAAAATAAGCAGACAATCTTGTTGTCAAATAGATGGGAGAAGCTCCGAAGAAGGGACAGTCTCGTGGCAATTCGTCTGCTCTGGAAGAAGCCAGATCACAGTAAGTTTCGTCTTTCTCTCTAAAGAACCAAAAATAGTTCAGAAACTCATACTAAAGGAATAAAACCTTCAACTCAGACGTATAAGCTAGACCAATACAAAAAAAAAACAGATGAAAAATACTATTATCAAACTGCTAATAATTACAAAGACGCATATGTTTGTCTGATACATGTAATGTATGAACTAGAAGTTCTTTTCAAAATTATAATTGTCAGATGCATAGATTTTCACCGAATTTTACCGAAACTAATTCTGACACAAATTAGACACTAAAACAAAAGCATTTGAAGAGTGTTGTACAAGATACACGAAGATCTACACTCACCCATTATTTTTACTTTTTCTGTCGTTTAATAGTAAATGTTCTAGGAAATAGTCTGCACCCACTTTACTTTTACACGATAGTAGTACGAAAATTGGAAGGGCTACAGATAATTTATGAATTGATATTCTTCTATTTTTCATACAGCTGAACGCTCTATTTTCTTATTATACATTTCTCGACTATTTTTTGTATCGAACAATTTTCATAAATCCCGTCTTTCCTTCCGTCCGAGTTTCTATTGCTATCACTACGAGAATGAAAGTACGTTGTGCTCTTCCTAGTCTCTAAAAATCTGTCAACAATTCTGATCAGAACTTACTTCACATCTATAGACTTGATTAATATCACATTGTAAAACCTCAATTATACCACTTTCCATTCCACAATAGACCTAATTTAAAAAGAAAAAGAAATATTTTAAATCAAAGAAAAAAACCCTTGTATTTTTATATAATACAAGATTATTTTTAAAAATCATTGATATAATCGATTGACTTGTTGTTGTTGTTAATTGTTGTATAAGTTCATGTGTTTGTATATTAAATATTTTAATAAGACCATCAAGTGATGATGCAATTAATAGATGTTGTTGTTGATTCATTGCTATATTTGTTACCGCTTTTTCGAATTCTTTATATTCATATATAATAGCACCATTGAGAAAATTATGTACAATAATTTTTTTATCTGCTGAACAACTATATAATAGATGATGAATTGAATCAACAATTAACTGACGTGGAGATTTTGTATGACCTTTGTTAATTATTATAGAATTGACATAAAATAAATAAATAATTCAAATTCAAATTTCTATTCTACCTGTTAATGTTAATCGTCGTTGTTCATTAAGTAAAGAAATAACAACAATAGCTCCATCAAAAGATGATGCAATCAATAGATGACGACCATCTGGGTCACGTGTAGCTGCAACTGCTGATACAACATAAGGTGAACATTTAATTGTATGAATAACACACATCTATTATGCGAATAAAAAATAAAAGAAAGTTGAAGAAAGAAAAAATAAAATGAACAAACTTTTTTTAAAGAAATAAATGCAACTTCACCAGAACCTAATCCAACCATTAAAATATGAAATTTAACAGCAGTACAATGTACAGGAGCAGCTAATGTTATTTCACCTTTTGGTTCATGTAATGGATGATCACGATATAATCTTACGGTTTGATCAAAACCAGCAATACATAATATTGTACCACTAAATCTTTTACAATGTGCAACTTGTAATGTTTGTGAACCACCATTTGGTGTAAATATTGGTTGATGACGTGGATGTTCATTAAGTGTTTGAATTTGATAAAATCGTACTTGTCCATTTAATGAACATGAATAAAGTAAACCACGATACATACGTAAACAAACAATAGGACTTTGATGTTTTGTCATTATAATACCAGCTCGTGGTTGTTGATATTTTGTACGTTGATAAGTTTTACCTAATCGACGACGATGCATCATACGCCAAACTTTATAATAATTTACTCGTGGATTGTATTGTATTGATGTTATTTTTGTTGATAATAATGAATCATTATTACCACGACGACGACGTTTAAGAACATTACCAAGGATTTCATGACCAACACTTGTTTGAGGTGTTGTACGAAATAAACCTCCGCATGTACCAAGTAAAAAATCAATCAATTGTGGACCGGATATAGTAATTATTTCATATGATAAATCATTATCAACTTTCTAATATAATGTAGAGAGAAAAAAAACGAAATACATATAGTATTCAGTATTAATAAAGTCCTATATATGAACATTAATAGTTTGATTAGGTTTACATTAAATAAGAAACATCCAAAACTGGCGAATGCCGTTTGACTTGACCTTATGACTACGATTGGATCTTCTTGACATTAACAGCATCCGAAAAACACTCGCGTCTATAATCCACTTGAGAAGAATTATTTTTGTCAAAGTTAGGCATTTCCAAAAATATCAAACTTTGCTTATATATAGAGCTAATCATCATTAAAAACTTCTCAGTACAAAACGACGCAATAATCAAATTTGTTTGAATGGTCCAATATCTCGAGAACTATACGCTCGTTTTCTTTGAAACATTTAATGATTATTAGCTCTATCTGTGAGAAATATTTCTGAATGAAATTCTTTATTGTGATATTATCAGAAGTGCTTTACGCTGACAGACAAAAATAACTCTTCACCAGTGGACTCAAATCCTTTTAAGTTTTTCTTAGTCTTACATACGGTCTATTCATACTCATAATATTAGTCTGAATGGCATCTAACAGTTGAGGATGTTCTCTCATAAGAAGAACTATTTTAAAAATAGATTTCTAATGAATTATCAACTGAATACTATTCTAGAGCATTTCAATCATATATTGATTTATACATTTTCGCATATACCTGTTCATCTGCGATTCGTTCAAGTTGATCACGTACAAAGAAAACTTTCATTTCAAGTGGCATTGTTTGTTCAGGTGATTTTTGAAAATTAATTGAATGTAAACGATTCAGTGCCTTTTTAGTGGATTTATTAAAAAATTGTCGTGTGATTTTATCCATATCTTTTCGTTCAACAAAATGATGTTGTAATTTTGATTGTTGAGCAATTTGTAAACATAATTGTGATAGTATCTCACGACCACGACGAGATGATAATGAACCAAGAAACGTACAATTAAGTGAAGATGATGACAACGAAGATGATGCAGTAGATGTACCAGAACGAGAAGCGCTTGCTGTAGTAACTTCCATTTCGGACATTCTTTCTTTTGGAGGATTTGAAAGATCCAAAAGGTTTGATTTCGATTGAAAAATTTTATGTCAAATCTAGAATAATATGAGCACCAATCCAACAAGAAGTTAATTCATATCTCGTGTAATTCGCAATATCAATTGCTTTCAATCTACCAATGAAACAATGCAGTTTGCCTCGGTGATGTTAAACAATTAATATATCGAATAATCAAGAGTTCTTCGGCATTTTAATCATATTTTAAACACTAGTTAGTGTAGTTTTACATGAAACAGTATTGTATGACGGTAAAAAGAAACGAATAATTAAACTGCAAAAAAAGGTAAATACCATTTTGGCTCTAAAGATGGCGCTCAGATCGCCCAGTAATTGGCATCACTACTTGACTGATGTAATAAAATGTAATTCAATTTCTTGAACAAACATAAGTGGAGAAATTTCGAAAGTAATATTAGAATAAATTTTATGATTTTTCTAATATTGAAATCGTTCGTAATACTCAATGATCCTGCTCTTATTAGCAAAATGACCACTATCTTTTATGATAATATTATTGATATTGTAGAGAATAAGTTGTATACATCAAAATCAAAATGGACTTCAACATGATTATTGAATATAAGCAGAATTTTATAAATGTTGTTAATAAGTGCATTTGTTTAGGTTAGATAATTTTCGACTAGTACATGAACATATCATACCGAATGTATCTATGCAACAAGGCATTCCTATCAAGATTATGATCAACAACTTTCTTACTATGATGTTCAGTTTAATTCTCTGACTACAGATGATTGTATCTGGTATTAGAACAGTAAGATGTTCAACAATTTCATTGGCGTATGCTTTGGAAAACAGATGTGACAAGTATATAGTCACAAATAGGAAGGTACCGAACCTGAACATTTGAGTTTGATAAGTTCGGTTCGATTGAGGTTTCGAGTGTGGATAAAGATGCGTAGCTGTGTGAATGTAAAAAGCACTTACACTCACATCCTCATATATTTATTATTGAGATTGATCAGAAATCAGCAAAATAACTTAACCAAGAAGCCAAACAACACTTTATTCTTAGAAAAAATTATCAATATTTCATTATTAATTTTAGATTGGCTCGTGTATTACATTAATTGATCATGACAAGCGTCCACTCTAACCAAATTAAGTCTCCGATATGTGTATCTATTCTAGGGATGTCTCTAGGTCACCAGAATGAGGGGAGCGATTAGGTGGTTTTGAAGGTTGATTGAAAGTTTTTGTTAAAACTGACTGAATTGTGGAGTATCTAAAAAGAACATATGAAAAATATAACAGCAAATAAAAATTTAATAAAGTTTAGAAAGGTAAGAGTGGCTAATGAGAGAATGGTGTCGTCGATGAATGTTTGATCCTTGTTTCTGCTGTTATCATCTGTCATACTCTGTTACGAAACAATTTTCTAAAGCATACATATCATAAGTAATAATAATCTTTTATTATTTTGTTTTCCTAATCTGATCTTATGAAGCAAAAATTTAAGATAATTGTTCAGGATTTTCAAAAAGTTCTTTTATCATGCAATAATTAATATTATCACAGTGATGGCAATTCAAAATTCAGGCAGACAAACGTATGTCTTAATAGTTTATCTTTCTAATAATAAATTTCATAAATCGAAAGTCCTTTCACATATATAGAACTTACTTACTTATTTATTAAACCTGATTGCAAAAATACTTTAGATTTCGTCGGTATCAAAATAATAAATAAAAAAGACGTGAGAAAATTTTTATTTTCATGCTATCTGCATTGTACGAATGTTTATTCAGTACAAATCAACAAGGAAAAATATACATGACGATAATTTCTACAGTCAAGAAATAGCGGACATAAAATAACAAACAAGAAATAAACAACATCAAAATAATAACAATTCGTATAATAGATCAAAAGTTATTGCATTGTGTAGCTACTTCAGTATATTTCTTCCCTGAGCATAACCAGCAGCCAGATAAAATTGGTTGATTAAGAAATGTCATGAGCAAATCTTGATTCATATTTGAATGTCGTTGTCTTATATTTGTTGAACTTTGTCTTTGTTCTTCATCTAACATTGATATAACATATTGTCTTAATTTTCTTAATTGTTTTTGTTGTTGTTTTATTTTTTTTAAAATTATATTAACTTTAGCTATTTTATCGTCATCGGTCATAGTTGTTGATACTCTTCTTACTATATCTGTTAATAGCGAAATTTGATTAATTCCTGTTGTATCACATTCAAAAACCCAATCCGATGGTAATTCTTGATGATTATCATTATAAACATTTGAGATTGATTCAGATTCGATGATTTGTTTTTCGTCAATTTTAGTATTTGATTGTTTTTGTTTCTTTTCAAATCGTTTATGTAATCGTTTTTGACGTTTTAGTTCTTTTCTTTGTTCAGCATCAGTAGCATCTAGTTCATTGACTAACATAGCACATTGTTCATTGAGATCGTTTTGATTTAGTTGTGTTGGTTTTTCAGCTGATGCAGGAGGCACAAGAGGAAGACGAAATGGAGAAGAAAATGGTAATAATTCTTCGACTTCATCACAATTATCAATAAGAAAACCTGAGTGAGGTAAGCTGTTTGAATTGGTTTGCAAAATTGGTTCACAATCGACGATCTAATATATATGAAAAGAAAAAACAATTGCTTTTTTTTTCTATTGTTTCTATATTAATAAAACAGAAAAGGAAGGGCATGCCGTTTGATGTATATTTTAAGAATCTCGCATCACAAATCAATCTTGAGTTAGATCCATTCAAATCATATGAAGTTTTCTGAATTTGTTAGAACTATAGTGAAGAGACTATTGTAAAATTTTTAGTTTTATATTATGTCGTTTTCGAGAGATATTCAACAAACAAGGATCAAAAATAGCTGATTTGGCAATCAGAAATTCTTTGTGAATCCTAATTTGATAGATTTTAATTTCTTATTTGAATGAGCATGTCAGACTGCAGTGAGTTCTTCTTTTTAAATTCTTACTTTTCATTCAGAGAAAAAACATGACAAGTTAAATCGCTCACAAAACTTGTCGATGTGACCTCGTGAGAAGACACAACAGGAAACTCACAAACTTGGACTGTTCTATATTTATGGTTTATTGTTACAGAGGTAGAAATTGTTCATGATTAAATCAGAATTGCCATGAAACACGGCAAATATCATTTTATTCTTTGCTTCATCGATTCCATTACCATATTAGCCTGGTATAAACATTGATTTCATCGTGCAGTCAGCTCCCAAGCACACTACTTTCTCTCGAAAAACTTTGACATATACTGTCGAGTCTCACCTAAATTTTGAATTCAATCTGTTGATATATTTTTTTTATACCCATCCTATTCTAACTCTGCTAGATCAATAATATCACCACCCCAGTGCAGGGTTCCCGATTGTTTTGAAAAGTGGGAGGGGCTAAAAATTCGGCAGAAAGTCTAAAAATTTTGGCAGAAAGTGTCTCAGTTGCCTTTCCGGCAGAAATTGAACAACAAATGCTAATTTGATCGACTTTCTGCAAGATTTTGTTGGCAGAAAGTATTGTCCTTCGACTTTCTGCCAGAAAAATGGTGATTAGTGCTTAAAAACTGAGTTTCTGCCAGATATTACTACCAAATTTTCAAAAAAATTGGCAGAAAGTATAAGAAACTTTCGCAGAAAGTCGGACAGTTTTTCAAGTTTGGGGGGGCTAGATCCCCCCCAGCCCCCCCCCCCCCTAATCGGGGAGCCTGCCCCAGTGGTCGACATCGACAAAAAGATTCCTTTACAGCATTGAAGACTGAAACCGACAATATTTAGACTAGTTAAAATTTACAATAGAAAGCTCAGATTCATAGAGTATCTTAGACAATTCTAGAAAGTTCCAGAATGATCTAAGCACTGCTATTACTGATGCACCTTTTCCATTGCTAGAAAAACATACTCAATGATCATTGACCTTTCCTCGCCCACTGCTATGGACATGTGTACAATGACGTGTATTTTTTTTCCTCCTGTCGCTAGTCGCTAGAGCCTTGGAGATAGCAGGGAAAATCTCGATTGAAACTTACATTCACTATTTTCTTCGAAACTATGTGTACGTTCGACTAAAAACAAAATATATTTCAAGCATAAATTGATAGAAATTATTAAAGCCTTCAGCAAAAAAAGAGATACAAAAAAAAATTTATATTGTTTATGAATGATCAGACTACGGACTATCTTCCTTTTCGATTTTTCTGACCAAAAATTGACAAAGAAGAGTGTTTGATATGGTATAAAATGTAAATGTATCCATACCGATGGTGGAGGTGTTGGCAGTAATTGTAGATTCGAACATTTATCATTTGATGTTGTTGTTGTTAGAGAATTATCAAATAAAATTCGTTCTATTGCACTAATATCATCATAATTATTAGTATCAGCAATTAAATGAAATGAACTTCCATTAAAATGATTATTACTATTTTCTGTCGTATTTATTATCGTTGATATCTGATCATTAGCAAAACGCATTCGATCGAATGTTGATGAATTTATTGAAGATTTTTGTTGTTGTGGCATACGAAGCATTGTTTCTAAATATTGTGTTTTTTGTTCAGTACTTTCATTTGTTTTTGTTTTTTTTACTGAACGTATCCATGATTCACGTTCATGTGGTATAGCAGTAACTAATGTTGATGGATTCATTGTTTTTGTACTCATCAATGGCATTGGTACTGAATCAGAATAATATGAATAAGTATTTGAATTTGATGGTTGATATTGATATTGTTGATTTGAAAAATTCATTTGATTTTTATTATATGATCGATCATCACGATGAGATGATGAATATTGATACTGATGTCTATATCGTCGATTATAATCATCATTATCATCATATCGTCTATCATGACAATTTTTACTTCCATAATATGAATGATATCGATGTTTATCGTTCATCTTATTCATATCTAACAGATAAAAAAAAAGAAAACATCTAAATATTTTTTGTCTGTCAGCGAGATCGAAACATGACGAATAAATTTTATTTCTTCATTAGAAAATGTCGAACCATACACAAAGAAAATCAAAGAAAAGGCAAACACCGAGAACAAAAGAGAAGATACATGCACAAAAACAAAAACAAAAATCTGTTAAAAAAAACGAAACACATTTATATATACACATACAAAGGTTCAAGAATGCTCTAAATTATATTCGAAATACATATAAAGAAGAACAAACAAAAAAAAACAAACAAAAATAGAACGCTGTACAAAACGAGGCAAAGCAAAGTATTTATTTTTCTTCATTCCAAACAGTTTTGTTTTGTTTATGAGACAAAAAAAAACAAAGAAAAAGAGAAGAAGAGATTCTATCAACGAGAATACAAAAAAAAAACAAAAGAAGCTTATCTACAAACTAAAAGAAATACGAACGACAATATATATTGTATTGAAATATAAGAATAATGCACAAATGGAAGAGTCATTCGTAAAGAAAAATCATTGAACCAAAAAAAACACAAACAAAAAGAAAAATATTTTTTTTCTTTATAAATCATTTATTGATACATATCGTAAACGTTTATGTAATGATGGTGAATGTTCATCAATAATAAATGAAAAACGATATTGTTCATTGTTTATTGTATGTGGTTCACGTTCATAACGAACATATAAACATTCATCATTTGAACGTTTCTCAATTGAATTTGTATTTGATATTTTTGGAAGAATAATAGCTGATGAATTTGTTGATGTTGAAGGAATTTGACATGATGATACGGATTTTATTGTTGATGGTACAACAATTAATGTTTGTTTTGGTATTGTTTGGTGACTAGATAGAGAATCCTTTGAAGAAACTTTTTGTGTACGAATTGATAATGATGATGATGACGATGATGATGAATTAAGTATTGTATCAAATGATGGTAATGGTTCTGAAGTATTACTTATCAATGGACGTGAAATAACTTGAGATAGTGAAGAATTTTGATAATCAATTGTTGTTGTTGATGATTGAGGAGGATGATGAATTACATACGATGATATTGGTGATGAACGAGAATTTGCAACTAAAAAATTAAAATAATTTCTTTATTATGTAAGTAGAACATTAAAAATAATGAGTGGCCCATAAAAAATGAAAGTTTCTATATCCATTCTAGTTTGCATAGATTCAGATAGAACTTTTTTTGGTAAAAAGATTCAGCGTTTAATTCTCTCCACAAAAAAAAGCCATACAAATGGATATTACACAGATGAAGGTTATTGTAATAATACTACAAACATGGAACATCAACAACTGCCAAGTACAAAATACAGCATGTCTCATAGTTATATTGACAAAGTGTACTATCCATTTTGTAGAGCTTCAATATTTTATTACTATGTTTAAGAATTTTCATAATGAAACCTTATTGTATAAAATATAATAGTTGCAAAAAAAACCGCTACTAAGAAAAAAAGTACTTAAACTTTAATTCTATGCCGATGAGCTAGAAGGTCAACATAGATTTTCTCCTTCAGACAAGGATATATTAACATACAAAACAAATCTTATAACGTTCGATATCTCGTTTAACAGCTAAGCCCTGAAAGAATTTGGGATATTTGACTAGACTATCAAACTTGGACTTTTGGCTTTTAATATAAAACTTTACACTGAGTTACTGCTTACAATCAGACTTTATCAAGCTCTATTTGTAGTCAAAATATCAGACAAAAGAATTGACGTCTATGTACTTTTTACCCAGTACGGAACTTCTTACAACTACTGTATTTTATGCAATAAGTTTTCATTTTGAAAATTCTTGAACAAAGTAATAAGATATTGAAGCTCTATAAAATGGATCATACGATTTGTCTATATAAGTTCACATAAATACAGGATAATTGTATTTTGTGTTTGAAAGTTATTGATGATGTATGTTTGCAATATTACTACAAAAACGTTTTTGTCTTTATTTCTATAGAAATATATTTATGTATAGTTTTGTAGAGAATCAAATACTGCATGTTATGAGAAAATACAGAGACTTTCATTCGTTATAAATCATCTCTTTATTTACCTGTTGATGTATTATTTAAAGATGATGGTATTGAATAAGATATAGATTGTGGTTGTGAATGTTGTCCTCCAATAAAAATAGTTTGTGTTGGTTGAGATTGAGATGATGATGATGATGATGATGATGATGAATTAAATCCTCCACTAGCTAACGCAGCAAGTACAGCTGCATTTGTACTTGAAGATGAATTATCAATACAAGAATTTGTTGATGAACGTTGTTGTTGTTGATTGATTGTTGGTGGTGGTGGTGATGGTGAATAACTTCCATTATTTTGTAGATAAACACGTTGTGTTTGTTGATCATAAGTAAGTAAATTTTCATTTTGTTGTTGATGATTTGTATTATGTAAAATAGACATTGTTTGTGTTGTTAATGCATCTGTATTAAAAACTAAATGCGATGACGGTGATGATGATGGTGATGGACAAATTATTTGTTGAGATGATGATGATATATGTTTTGATATCATTTGTCCAGATGGAATTTTATCACCATAACATTTAAGTGTTTCAGCTGATAATTCAGAAAATGGTTTATTACTAATACGTATTACTGTTTTTTGTAAAACACCATCGGTATCTTTTATTTTGATATCAGGAAACGTTATTTCAGCTTCATTTAATGAATGTAATGAACCATTTACAAAATCACGTAATTTTCTTAAACCCATATAAAATGGTAATTTATCTTCGGCACGTGGTAATTGTGAACAACGAGCACTTGATGATGGCATTACAAATACGTGCTATTGAAAAAAATAAATAAAATGTATTATTTCTTTTAACTCTAAAACTAAACAGCAAACAGAGTTTTTCTTTTCTTAAATCGAAGATTAGAATACATATTTTTTGACATATATATTTAATGAATCCACACCTCTCTAATAACATCTCATAAACGTACGACATAACTACACAAACTGATGTCTGTTTTTTTGAGGTTCTATTGTATCTACAATGAGATCTTGGTGAGGCTAACAAAAACATAAAAGAATTTGTTCTCATGGTCAAGGTACAAACGTTTTACTGAATGTTCAATCCAATATCAGGCATATACCAGAAAATCGAAAACTAGTACACTATCTTGAAAGTTTAAGTCGAAAAGAATATTCTTTTGTCGAGAAATTCAATTTCCAAAAAATTATTACTTATCACAGACGTATCACAAAAATCGAGTTTACATGAAAAATATAATATCTTGATAAAAGAGTATTTTATTCGACTCTCAAGATATTCTATAGATCATTATATACCAGAGATGTTTACAGGACAGAGTAGGGTAAGATTTTCGTATCGTGTAAATTTAACCATCAAGTTTCTGAGTTTTAATTTTCAAAAAGGAGCGTTTTTGGAGGATTTTTGTGAGTCAAAAACAGAAAATAGGTTACAGAGGATAGTACCAGCTGATACTTAGAATTTTCTTCTATTAGATGTACATTCAAATGAATGTGGTAGAAGTAAAAAAAAGAAGAAAGAGTAAATGTAGTAGTTATCGAAAAATTATATTTGTATTTCTTTGATTCTCTTTGTTTTATAACATGAAAATAATAGTTTTACTTAGAAGTTCTATATTATTTGCTTCTGATGATGATATACATCTGCTGTCTACTACTCATCTTAATGATGTATCACATACATCGATAAATTGTCTTATTAATCACTCAATGCCATCTTCTTCCAATTTTTATATTGCTGAACAACTAAAGCATTTCTTATTCAAAAGAAGATCAAGGATTTCGTCTTGATAATAATAATAACTCTATGAAAGCATTAGCGTCTCGGTGATTTTCTTTCGAATATGTAATTTTTACAATTTAAAAAAGAAAGAATTTGAACGAAATTAATGAATTTATTAGCTGTTACAAGTGTTATCAAAAAATTTCGTTATCAATCTGCGTTTACTTCTTTTGTCTTTTGGTTAAACTCATATCTTTTGGTACTTGTCGAACTGAATTAAAAAACACAATAAGAGAGTATATCGATTCTACAGGTTGCCGTGCCCTGTTCGATTCAGCCCAGAAGGTAGGTCAGAGAAAGGTAGATTTTTTGTTCTTGCCTTTTTTATCAACAGAAGAAAGGGAGGATAGAGTACAGGCAAGGGCAAGGTGTGAAAATTCACCCTGTGAGCATCTCTGTTACACACATCAATTGACAAAATATTACGTCAAAATCCTGTTTTTTTTTGGTTTTTTCACATATGTCTGAAAACAACTCGAAAATTCAATAAAATGACAATCACTGTGTTCCAAACGTCAAGTATCAGTTCGAACGGTTCCCCTCCCTAAGAAAACAACCACATGCCATGAATAGAGTACTTAGAAAACTCATAAAAAAAGGTCAATTTTATATTTTAATGTACACAATATAAGCTTTCGTGTTAATAAGAAATAGTAATAGTTTGAAGGTGATACCTTGAGGATATACATATGCTAGAAATATGTATTCTTATCAAACCAAAACAAAACAAAAAATGTTTTTCATTAATTTTCTTCATTGAGATGCTTACCGTATCTGTACCAGGAAATAATTCTGGCTGTTTTCCATAATGGAAATGTTTATTACCAGCATAAACTTCATAAATTCCTATAATAATATTATTTCTTTATTAAACAAAATCATTCATGTTTATATTCAAACCTCGTCCATTAAATGCAACTATTTTCGGTCTATACATTTTAATTTTTTGCATTAAGACTTCAGCACCAGCCGTTATTTCATCTCTATAAATATATCAAATAAATAAAAAGAAAATCTTTTGTTTATTTTATTAATACTTTGTAATATCTGATCCAGCTTTCGTTGGTCTTTGTACAATATTGGTAAAACCAATACCATATTGTGGCATACGATAGTCATCATTAGCACTAAGTGCAGTCGGTATTAAACCCGAC